GGAATTCATACTTGTCTAATTTTTAAAATAAATTCTTTTCTTTATAAGACAAGTATGTTTCATATGACCATGGAAATGAAAATATGAGTATTTTGTCATTTTTAAACATGATGAATTGTTTTGAGAAATTATTTATTTTTCTTTTGTTAAGCATTCAAGCTTAACTTTCAAATAAAAAATTTCTTTTTCTAAATCATTAATTTTGATTTTTGAAACCTCAAAACCATTGTTCAAAATTTCATTTTGCTTTTTCAAAATCCAATTTTGCTTTAAAAAGAAAATCATTTTCAACTTTAAATTTTGAAATCACTTTCTTATATTTGGAATTCATGGTCTCAAATTACAAGTACAATTCATCGTAGGCTTCTTGTAACTCTTTAAAAGAATAAGAATTTAAATCACAAGAGTTAGAAGTTACCCTTGAATCTTCTTCGATGGCCATGAGACATGGGTTGACTACTTTATCATCAGAGTTGTCTTCATTACTCCAAGCCCCCACAAATGCCTTCTTTTTGCTTGATCCCTTATTCTTTAAATGAGGACATTCATATTTGGCATGTCTCGTTCTTTGGCATTCAAAGAACATTGGGGGATCTTTCATTTTACTCGATTCATACTTCACTTCTTTTCCTTTGGAAAACATGAATCTTTTGAATAGCTTGGTTATCTCTTCTTCATCATCATCTTCTTCACTTGATGTGCTTCCATTTTGGGTAGAGGATTTCAAAGCAACACATTTTTCTTTCTTTTCTTCTTTCTTCTCTTCTTGTTATTCCTCTTTTTTCATCATCTTATAAGTGAGAAGGGAGCCAATAAGTTCATCAAGCGAGAGAGAATTTAAGTTCTTCGTTTTGATGATCGACGTCTTCTTCGATTGCCTTGACTTTGGAAGATGATATATCATCTTCCTAACAAGCTTCTCATTAGGGATGATCTCTCTATATCCTTTGAGACCATTGTTAATCACGAAAAATCTATCCGTCATAGCTTTGATATCTTCACCCGGTTTCATCTTAAAATTCTCATAGCTATGGTTGAGTAGACTAATTTTAGTTTCTCACTTCATCGGTTCCTTCATGAGTGACTTGGAGCTTGTCCTAAATTTCCTTGACAATGGAAGAAGAGGAGACTCTTTCATATTCATCTAGGCCTAATGCACAAAATAGTATGTGCATGGCCTTGCCATTTTGTTTGAACTTATTCTTTTATTATTCACTCCAATCTTCCATCTTATTGGTTGGAGTTGAGTGATCCATTAAGATAGAGTTCCAAACATCTAGATCGGTGGCTTGAATGAAGATCATAATTATATTCTTCCAATTTGCATAATTTTCTCCATTGAAATAGGTGACTTGTTGGTCGATTGAGAATCCTCGATGTAGTAAGCATCGGAGGAAAAAGTCATCTTCTCGGTTGAGTCAAAAAATGATAGAACTCTTTTAGGATCTTCACAAAGTTGTTAAACCTTCAATTATAACCCGCTCTGATACCAATTATTGAGATTTATGATTATCTATCGTTCGACCGAAATTATTTCCAAAAGTGGGTAAATTGAACTTTTTAAATTATTGAGAATTAAGGAGAAATCATAGAAAAATTGGCTCAATGATTTATAGTCGTTTAACTTCCTCAATAAAGTTTACATTCACTACATTAGCTCCTCACTAAAGATTTCTAATTAATCCACTTATTTGTTCTTTCTTTTCTAGGCTCAAGAGTAACTTTTACAAATTCCCTATTTTTTACAATGGCTATGATAGAACCAAAACCCCATTTTAACAAGGATAAAAGATTTTAAACAAGAAACCTCTCAAAAGAATGTGTTTACATAATTTAGCTCATTAAAACACTCTACATACAAGAGAAAAGAAAAAATAAGATTGAAAGAGTTTTTCTCTTGGTATATATTGCTTGGATAGGTGTTGTAAAACTTCTTCAAGTTTTTTCAACTTGTTTTTATATGTTAGAATGTATTTGTAGTCGTTCTAGCTATTAGGAATGTTTTGGAGCCGTTAGGGACTTAATTACTGCAAAATAAAACTGGCCAGATCAGGGAGTATCGGTACTCAGACTTAGAATGTCGATATTATACTAATAAAAACTAGTCGGTTTTCGAACGTTGGACTGGGAGTATCAATATTGAGATCATGGTATCAATACTACTATACAAAGTAGTATCGATACTCTGTTAAGTATCGGTACCAAAAATATCTACTAGAATCTGAACACATTTAAAACCACATTTAATAACAATAAACAGTATCGATACTATTATGAGAGTATCGATACTTTTCTTACTTTGGATATCTATACTACAAGAACAGTATCGATATTGTTTATGTGGTATCGATTCTGTAAGAACAATATCGATATTTCTTTCTAAAAAATCATTTTTGTGTTCAAAATCAAGTTTTATGAACTTTGAATTATTTTTGAAATTTTTAAATAAATTCAATTTAATCCAAAAATATTTTTGAACTTAAAATTTTTACATCAAAATAGGTTCAACAGTAAAATCCCGAGTGCCATGCCCCCAGACACAAATCAACCGCTAGAGGAGTGTCCAGCCGATTACCAAGGAGAGTCCCCATCGCCACAGTCATCATGCCCAAAGGGACATCATAAACTAGGACCCATATAGCCAACTTGTTGAAGTTGAATTCTATGAGACTACAACTAGCGTCATATGGCACTAAAGCCAACAAATCATCAATAAATGACCACTGGGAGCTTTCAATGACACAAGTGCGAGCTTCGTCCGAGAGGAACGTAATCAAGAAGTGCTTCTCACTAAGAGCAGAGATCGTCTAAACCAGAGAAGGCCCCCAGATATAACGGAACACCCGGATGATATCTTCTGATTCCATAGAGGTCGAAGAGAACAAGTAGCCAATCATGATAAACGCAGACGTCTGAGGCGGAGATGTGTTAGTAGAGCCAGGGTAGAGAATATCTCTACTTCATCAGTCATAAAGTGTAGTTGGGCAAGTAGGTTTTTAAGTTCATCAACCACGATACCAATAGCAGAGTGAAAGAAGCAAGGGACAAAAGTTGAAAGACCTTGAAATTTTTTTATGACGAAACCAGATAGCAATCAGCAGATAGTTAGGAGTGAAACGAGTAGGTGCACTTATAAGAAGATAAAGCATGCAACCGTCCACTCTCCACGTTTTCCCAATCCACCATTACGTGGCACACGTGGAAGGAGGATACCAATAATAGACAACGTGTCAAAAACCGTCAGTGGAAGCTACACCTGCATTCCGATCAAACCAAACACCAAAGTCCCCGACAGAAGGAAGAGTCGGAAACCCATAGTAGCAATTTCCCTCACACCTCTCCAACAGACTAGGAGTGTGGGAAAGAGAAATGTGGGGTCGTTCAAAACCCAAGAATCAAAAAAGTAATAATGAAATGGCAAAGCATTAGACAATATTGCCAGAATATTTGGTGAAGTTATCAGTAGAAGAGGACCATAACTAGAACCTGAATCGGGAAGCGATAACCATCGTTGATAGCCGTGACACTCCCCCGCGAGGGATGAGCCGAGGGTCGAAAGGGAAAGAGCATTTCAGAGCATTTTATACATCTTTTTAAAAATTCCTATCTAGATTTTTTTTTCTTTTTTTTTGAAGGATTTTTTTTAAAATCTTTTAGATGTATTTAATGGGATATTTATATTTATAAATTATTTAATTTAAAATTAAAATAAATTAGAGATTCTTATATTATGCTCAAATCAATAATATATTAGATAAGTGTCCTCTTGATCATTTGTGGAGATTTCAAATCAACCCTTAGAAGGAAAAAATGAGAAAAAAATGATCAAACGATCGAAAAGTATGTCAAAAGGCAGATAAAAACGTGTCATGCATGCAAACTTATTAAAATTTAAAAAGTAAAAGATAATAGAGATACAATATAAGAAAAGAAAAAGACAATAAAGAATATCAACAGTCGACAACCAACATTAAAATTAGTATTACCGCCAATCAACAAAGACAAAAAAGAAAAGTGATGAATATCACACCAATGAAAGAAATCTAAGTTTTCGATGAGAATACAGGATAAAGTAAACATTTGTGCAAACGTTGATAACTAATTTTTTTTTATTATATCTTCTCTAATTTGATAAACTTTTAAGAACAATATCTAATCTTACAATTCCTTTAAAAAATTTACTCAAATCTTTAACACTCAAACCCTATCAAAAGATAAAAACAAATAAGCAAACTAGAAATGATCTTCAAGTGATTAAAATATTTACAAATTAAGCGCACACTCAAAAACATTTGAGCAAAACGAATACAATGAATGCTCACAAGAAAAAAGGATAAAGAAATTTAAGTACAAACGAGTCTCTTTAAATAGATGTCGCTTTATTGTAAAAGCTTTGAATGTTTGTATTTATAGCTTCTAATTGAAGGGATTGTTGGGGGAAATACTTTTTTCTTAAGTTGGCGTTGCATTCTGTATGATGTGTACATGTTTACTTGGCATTACTCTGTGGAATTGCTGCTTATTTTCATGTTTTATGAAAGCAAATAAATGCCCAACAAAACTTCAATTCATTTGGGAAAATGCTTGCAGGTATGCTGAGTTCATTTCTTTGAATATGGAAAAATGGTGGACATTGTGCTAGTGTATTTGGTAAAGCCGTTTTGTTCATAAATGCCTAAAGATTGACCTCACATTCATATTCGTGAAGATGGACGCAAGTTTTTCTCCTAGAGGGATGAACTTATAAAATTTATTTTAGGAGACGAAAACATATTATCAATAGAAAATACAAAAGATATACCAAAATTATATGAGAATTTGAAAACTTTTAGGGCGACCGCCCCAGCACCCCCTTATCCATCCTTGCATCTAAGTGCCTTAATGAAAACAGATTCCACGTGTTCATGGATAAATCTGTGATCAAGCTAAGACTAAACAGTCTAACCAAATGGATTCCCTGATTGAAACCAAACCTAGAATTCAACTATTTCAGTTTTGAGTTCAAAGAAAAAATACTACCTGTAGTTTCTCTAACATTGTGGGCAGCTGCTGAAACGTAGACCACAAATCACATTTAACATAATTCAGTGCTCGTGAAAAAGACCAGTTCTGAAGTACATCTTGTTCTTTTCGGTGGTTCAGAACCAAGTACAATCTGGGTGAGGAATGGGTAAACAGTTTAATTTTGTTCATATTCCTAATTTTTATACCAACTTCAGCAACAGTGAAAATAAAGTCAACTGATTAGCAATGCTATTTATTTCCAGTATTGCCGTGTCAACCCCTTGATACTTTAGGAGCAAAGATATGCAAGAAACATCATTGAATATGCGGTTCTCCAACCATTGAGAAATAAGCAAATATCTAATTTCTAGAAGTCTTACCCGGAATCAGCTTTCGTTGGGACATCTAGCTGCCAATATAACCCCAGAAAAATATAAATTAGCAAATATATTTTATAACTTAATACATCAAGTTTCAAAAAAGGGGGTAAATTTTTAACCTAGAATAGCGAGTAATGTGATAAAATCAGCAAAAACTCAGATATTTAACGGACTTTATGAATGTACCATTTTGAATTGTGTTCACCGCTGAAGTCTGAGATGAGGTCCATCAATTCATCAACAATAGCTTTGTAGCAGAAAAAATATTGATCCTATTAAATGGTATGTAGAGTCGGTCAAAACTTTAGAAGGTTGAAATCAAGAATGTGAAAGATAAAAAATAAAAAGTAAATGAGCTTGTTCAAACACTCACATCATAACAAAATCTGAAACTATTTCTGAGTTGCTTCTAACAAACACTTCTAAAGGAGAAGTGTTAGATTTATTCCTATTGTAATACTAAAGTCTATTTAAGATGGGACCAAAGAGCTATCCTAGTCCCATCCTTTACAATGTGAGCTAACATAATGGGCAACAAAAAATTGAGTAATGAAATAATCTTGATGTTTTATCTCCTCTATCTTTTTTTTTTTTTTGGTATCAAGTAACTCAGGATTAAATGCCAGCCCTTGCTGGAATCCACCTAAGAGAGGTGGGGGAAATATTTAAGCTCCAAGTATGATTATTTTCCAAAGATGAATTCCTTCATGAAATTCTACAACATAACAGTAAACAGTGCAGAACTTATTACAGCTCTCAGAAGAAACTTTTGATGCAATTATACTGTAAATGCAAATATATCTTTAATAATTGCTTAAAATGTTTCTAACCAATAAGCCAGACATTGTACTGCAATGAATAAAAACAGGGTAATTTGTTGCTTATTTCTCACTTTTGGTCTGATTGCAGCAAAATCCCTAATGAAATTATTGCATCCTTAGTATTAGTGCTGACCATGATTTCCATATGCCTATTGATACTTTAAGGAACTTGGAGTATCCTAATAGCTTAGCAACTTGAAATAGTGTACGGCAATCAGATGCTCTCAAAATAAAATCTGAATTTCTAGACATGGAAGTAATACCATGGTTTGAACCATTCCAATGCGCTGGGACCTGAATATAGATAAGGTATTAGCAAGGTCTAGCGCAGACATGTCCCCAATGAGGATTCTCTGGACAGTGTTATGAATTGCACAGTATGTTCCAGTTCTCCCGATACCTGCACTGAGCCAGGGAGAAATTGCCTCAGGCCGATAAATAACAGACTTAGCCCTTAAACCATATTTTAAAAAATAAATGAGTTGTACCTGCAATGCACCAATATTGGACCAATATTTACTGGTACTTGTAATAGTCTTTTCAAGATTTCACGGACAGCAAGTGCGTCAGTGGGAACTCCATGGTCAGGCCAATCAGGATACTGAATGTGCAAAACAGATAGTGGTGGATCTTTTGACTGCAAAATCATACCCAAAGGAATCAGGAAAATAGTTCTTTAGAAGACTACAAAGAAGTAATTACTTTTCAGTTCCTTTATTAAAAAAAAACGATTTCCTTAAAGAGCAATACAATGGTTGACTTTTTTCCATTTTTCCCGTGGGGGAGAGAAGATTGTAAAATCTTCCCCCATGAACTATTTTAAAAAAGGATGCCCAACATACCGTAGATTTACAGTTCCCGCAATGTGCAAAGGATGGTCAAATAAACAACAAACTACTGAAAATTTACAGTTCTAACTTCTTACCCAAGCATAAACAAGAAATTATTAACATATCCCACTTACAAGTTATTTCGGAATCTGTTGCAAGGTTACTCAAGAAAAAGAAAAGAGTTATTGATATTGACTTAAACTCCAAGTAATTTAGGTCATTCATTATTTTGTGAGAAACAAGAGCTTTAATCATTTGGATGGTAGGATAGCCAGTTATCCTCAGGGTCTATATGTAGGATTTGTGGATGCTTAGAAGTTGGGGTTGGTAGGACTTTATCTAGTTTGACATACTTCATTTAATTTTTGTAATCTCTATTTAAGGGGACGATGGATAAAACAAAGTCAAGTTGAATTTTTATCAAAACCCTAAAACAAGATCTTGGTCTCTATCTACCAAATCCTAAAGGTTTTAGGCTCCCTCTGAAGAGCTTCAGAGTGATTTTACTGAAAAATATGAGATATTTTACTGGAAGAACAAGTATTTTTCTTTTTCATTCCAATAAAGCGAGAGTGATTTTCCCATACATCACAAGTGAATTTACTGAAAAAAGAGGATATAGTTTACTTACTGGAAGAAAGTAATTTTCTTTTTCTTTCTAATAATGCGAGTAAACAGTCATGTTATAGGTTGTGTCTACAACAGTGAGTCCTGTTTAGATTAGTATTTGCATAGGAGTCCTACTAGGTTACATCTTTGTCTAAAAGTCTTCTCTAAGTAATATCTATCTTATCTCCTAACTAGATAAACCTAATCATAAAAGACACCTTTAACACAAAATTAAATGCATATTAAATTCGAATTCATTCTACAGTCTCCCTGCCCCCAAGCTGGAGAGTACATCAATTTGGCAACACCATTTTTGACTTCCTCTGAAATAAAGTGTCTATCAATCTCCACATGTTCAGTCATGATGAACGAGACTCTTAGCAGTGCTTATGACAGATTGGTTGTCACTTTGTACCATGAATTGATCATTGAAGTCCACCGTTAACTCTTTTAATAATCTCTGAATCTACATTCCTTCACAAGTTCCTAGTGCAAGTGCTCAAAACTCACCTTCACACTACTTGAAACTATTTATTGCTTCTTACTCCTTCATGCAACAAGAATACCCCAAAAAAAGGAGGCAATAGCCGCTTGTAGGCCTCCTTTCAATTAACTCTCCAACCCAACTTGCATCAATATATATTTCAACTTCTCAATTTCACTTCTTTAAAAAATTAAACCATGACCGGGTGATATTTTGAGGTACCTCAGGATTCAATTGATTGCTTCTAGATGCTCTACTCTAGGGTCATCCATATGTTGACTGACAATACCTACTACAAAAACAATATTCGGTCTTGTATGGGATTTTTTTTTTTATAAGAATTGGAGGCCTCGTTAAAACCCCCTTCATAATAATCAGCATACTAAAACGTATGTCAACGAAAATTGGAAGGAGGAAAAGAGTACCTCATGATTTATTAAATAATAAAACTAGTACACCTTGTAAGAAATAACACCCCAATAAGATACATACACCAAATCAAAAAATCGGAAAACCTCTAAGAAACCTCCCTTCAAAAAGCCAATTAAAACAAGGACAACCCTGTCCGATACCAACTCACGCCTATCCCGAGCCTCACATCACTAAAAACCAAAATATTCGAAAGTTGCTCCTAAATCCATTAATATGAAAAAAACACAACCGGCTCCGAACGGCGAACCATCAATATAATTAGAGAAGCAACCCAATCCAATCAATTAAAACTCCTTCAAAAACCGCTAACAGACTAAAACCCAAGATTCGTCTGAGACAGTTAAGCCACCTCAGCCTTTTGATTGCTACTTTTAGATTCACGAGGTTTTTTTTTCTTTCCACACTTTGATCCCTTTCGAAGACCCTCTCCCTGCAACCAGTTTGAATCACCTATTGCCCCATTAGAAACCAATAGACCCATATTGAGACCGTCTTCCAGGGCATGAGACTCCACAACGTTTTGATATGATCGATCGAGGGCACAAGGTAAGGAAGACTCCAAAACTAAACATGGCCTTGAAGCTAAACCAATCTCACCACCAGTTGTTCCACCGCCAGGTACAACTTCTTTCCCAAGCTGATTTGACAAGTTTTCCATCAATCCAAGTGGAAAGGAACCCGGTGTAGCCATAGGGGAACATCGACCAGGGGGATGAGCTTCAATTTGTGTATTAGAAAGGGCCAATGCAACCATACTCGACATTGGATTTGTCGTTGTCAGAGGCAACCGTGTCTTCTTCATTTTCCTCGGGAACCCAAGGAATAGGCTTGAAACTCGGATCGATCTCGCAAACCAGGACGTTAAACGATTGGCCTTCAACCTTCAATCCTACTACCTCGTCAATTCTAGAGATGTATTTGTAAAAATTTGGATTTTTACCCGATCAAAGGACGATAGATATTGGGATTTTTCATCAATTGCAATAATTTTCCCCACTTTGATGCAATGTTTGTAAAGGTATCCCAGCTCCAAGCATGAAAAGGAATCACTTCACAAACCAACCAAATATGCCGACTCTCCACTACCAAGTTTTTTTACCATGATTCAAATATGTCGAACCAACTGCCAGAGACACCGAATGCTCTACCTTCATTCTGTTCAGTAACATCGAGGATTCAAAACACAATAGGACAACATTTCCAGTGGCTCTCATCAACAAAAAACCCTTAAGGCCTTTTTCATGCATCTGTCTTGCAAGGTTCGAGATGGAGACAGTTTCTACACCAACACACAAGGCAATTTTCCAGTACTCATAATTTATCTTCATCAATCACCCCTTCTATCGAGGATAGATAACTCCTCTTGTCAACTACATCCTTATCCTTCCGCTGAAAGGATGTTATAGTTCTTCTCCAGAAGGATTGCCTGGGATTATATTTTGCCATCGAAACACCAATTTTACATCCAAAAATGAAAGTGCCATCCATCCTAGCAATTGTTTTCTTGGCTTCTTCAAATGTAGCAAATCTGATAAATCCAAAACGAATCCCCCTTACAGATTTTTTAGAAGGGATGAAAGCATCAATCACCTTTTCATGGATGCAAAAAAGAGAGCCAAACTTTTTGCAATGAAGATTCTCAGGAATATTTTCAACAAAGAGCGTATAACACCCAACCCTAATCCCCTTTTTTGTTGATATGTATTTTTCCTTCCCCCATGAACTATTATTCTTCCTCCAGACACTGCTGCCATTCCTCCCGTAATTATTTTTGGTTCCAGACCAAACCCCATTGAAATGATCGTCTATATTTCAGAAATCAACTTCAAGGCTGAAACTAAAAAACAGGTTCAGACTCCACCTTTTAGTAATGCCAAACAAGCAGAGAAGAAACTTTCTGGAATAAAGATTCCATCAGTGTGTGGTCGGAATCACCCAGAGACAGCGGCAAAGAAATCAGCGTTGGAAATGGTCGGCCCACGTACCCTCATACGCCGGCGTGTGATGAAGTGTCGGTACCTTGTGGAGGCGCGTGAACTTTACGCGTTGGGCGTTTGGTGACCAGTCTGTCCAAATCGGTCGATCGTCGCACGATGTACCTCTTGGTACAGGCGGTGTCGAGAGAATGATCCCCAAAAGTCACCGGGAAAATTATTTTTTTTTATAGAAATAGGCCTAATTAAAAACCTCCCTCTTAGTAGTCCTTTACCCTAAGGCAAGAACCGACTAGCGGAAGGAGGAAAAGAGTATCTCAATATATTGATGATAACCGAAGTACATAAGACTTAAAAACACTCCTACGAGTTACATAAAACTTAAACACACTCCTATTAAACCCTTATTGTTAAACAACTAAACCTACTAAAACAAAGTTAACCATCACCCAATCCCCTCCTTTGCTAGCTTATCAGCCTCGCAGTTACAACTTCTAGGAACCCACCTCACAATAATCTCATACACAGAAACAGTAAACACCATATCCTTAACAAAATTTACAAGAAAAGTAGGCACTGAAGCTTTTTTCTTTCATCCAATCCACTACTAACTTACAATCACTTTCAACAATGAGCCTTCCCTTCGATACCCATTCTGAGGAGACAAAAATATCTATGCCTTTTTTTATGGCTTTCAACTATGCTAGAATGATAGGAGTAGGGCCAACATTTTCTGAAAAAGAAATAAGCTTAGTCTGATTCCAATCTCTGAGAATACCCCCAATTCCAGCAATCATCGCAGCATTACTAACAGCTCCATCCATATTCATCTTAAAAAAACCAATTGGAGGACTCCAACAAACCGCAAGCTTATTCAAATCCTTAAAAACATAAGTATAATCTGCCAGTGAAGGATCACCAATTAAGGAATCCACCTGAATAGAGAGGAGAGGATACTTAGCTAGGAGCCATTTCACTAACTTGAACCGAACGATGAAAAACAATGTGAATCTGTCCAGCTTTCCTTTTTTCAAAGATGATTTCATTTCTAATCTTCCATATTGACCATAAAACTACCCCCGGAATAAAATTCCACATAGCAGAATAGGGCCTCAAATCAGACCATGAGCTGAGAAGGGAGGGAGGATCAAAAGGTATAGCTAATAGAATCCTCCAGAAACCAATAATTTTGTTCCACAATTCCCACGAAACCTGGCAAGAAATAAAAAGATGCTGAACAGATTCTTCACATTTATTACATAAAGGGCAGAGAAAATCCTCCCCTATAAGAACCCCCTTTTCTTCAATTTAACTCTCACCGCTACTTTTTTGTGGGTCACTTGCCAAAGGAATGCCTCAACTCTAGGAGGAACTACCAAACACATTTGTTCCACAAAAATGAATCCTCATTAAAAGAGGAGAAAGACTTCCTACAAGCTTTTACTGAGTACAACCCCTCACCCACGTCATCCCATAGCAAACAATCCTCCAAAAAGTCAATTAATTTAATGTCTTTAAGTCTATCTAATAACTCTACCAACTGAACCACTTCCCAATCACAAAGATTCCTCCTCGTCTTAATATTCCACTCCTATCCATTCGAATCAAAGCTTCCAAAATCAGCAACATTGCCCCATTGACTTGGTGAAAGGGCAAAAATCCTAGGAAAAAGAACTTTCAAAGGAAAATCCCCTAACCAAGCATTATTCCAAAAGGAAATTGAATTACCATTCCCTACTTGTAACTTTGTGTGGGATCTAAGGCAACCTCCAATGAAATCATCTTTGATTAAGTTATTCACAATTCCTCTCCAAATCCAAGAGTCCTTATGGGAGAGGACCTTGTTGATATCCATGGAATGTCAACTAACATTATGTTTGTTGCATAAGAATTTCTTCCACATCGAATTTTTTTCATTAGCAAACTTCCAAACCCACTTTCCCAACAAAGCTCGATTAGTAAGTTTCAAATCAGCAACACCCAGACCTCCACCACTCATCGGTTTACAAATCTTATTTCAACTCACCCAATGCATTTTCTTCTTCTCATCCCCTCTACCCCATAAAAAACCGCCATCAAAGTATGACATATACTAGAAGGCATCTTGAAAATAGAAAGGTAGAAGATGGGTAAAGATGACAATACTGATTTAATAAGCACCAATCTACCAGCCATTGACAAAGAGGAAGCTTTCCATCCAGCCAATTTCTTATTAAAGTTTTCGATGACCGGTTCTTACAATTTCTCATAATTTCTTTTTGCCCCTAACGGGAGGCTTAAATAGACTGATGGAAAGGAACCAATAGAACAACCAATAGCAACTGAACCTGTAGAACTTGAAAAATGCAGCAAACTTAAAACTTTAGTTCGCTAGTAAGCTGCCACTCCGCGATGGATTCCTCGAACAACATGATTCTCCGGCAATTTCTTTTGTTTTTTATGTCGGGCAGTGGACTGAGGAATCGTAGTCGGTCGTTATAACGTTGTTGATTAGTCGAGGAGAGATTCTTCAGACAATGGGAGATGCGAAGTTCTTGTAGATCTACGCCGATCTATTTCGAGTTTGAAAAAAACAGCGTCAAATCCATGTCCAGGGTGAAGAGAGAATTCGAATGGTGACTTTATCTTCCTTTTCCGATTCCGGTGAGCAACGGTCGGAGCTTATTAACGGTGACTGGCGCGGCTGCGAAGCGGTGGTCAACCGATGGGTTGTGAAAACAGTGACGCCAGGGAACGTGGATGAGATTTTCAAAACATGACCTTTAATATTAACTATCCCATTGACCTTTAATATTAACTATCCCATTGACCTTTGGTATTATTCTTAATTAACAGGGACTCCATCTCTCCTTAGCTTTAAGTTGGGGTCCATGGGTGTTTTTTCTGGTTTATACTCGAGCATATTGATCTTTGTCAGCAAGTCCAGAATATTTTTCCTTAATGAGAACAAAATCACAGCTTTGAATCGAGCAACCTCCATCTCTTGAAAAAAATTTGAGAGTACCAAGATCTTTGATTTCAAAATCAACAGTAAGTTGACTTTTCAGGCTATCTAATTTCTTCAAGATCATCTTCTATTATGATAATATCAACATATACAACAAGGTTTTTTTACCTTTTGGTGAAACCTTCAAGAAAATGTGTGATCTGATTAACACTGACTAAAGTCATAATTAATTAAAACTTTGGTAAACCTGTCAAACGATGCATGAGAAGACTGTTTCAGGTCATACATTGACTTCTTTAACATACGTTGTAACCATTTGAGGTATTTTCTAAACTTGGTGGTATCCCATGTACGCATCTTCAAGATCCCATTTAGGAATGCAATTTTTTATGTTTAATTGATGAAGAGGTCAATCTTCATTCACCACCAGTGATAGCAATACCCGAACTGTGTTTAGTTTCGCAATAGGTGCGAAGGTCTCCTGGTAATTAATTCCATATGACTGAGTGAACACTTTTTCCACCAACCTTATTTTGAATCTTTCAACACCACCATTAACCTTGAATATCCATTCACAACCCATTGTTTTTTTGTGGTAGTTCAATGAGTACCCGTTGACCCCTCCTAATATAGAAATGAAATTCTTGATGATTTTCAGGTTCAATTTTGGTTGGAGAGTCTAACTTGGATAGTGTTTTGGTTGGTGAGTCTTTGAGAAGGCAAGTTTGTTGGTTTAGAAGAAAGCATGACTCTTTGATTGGTTTCTAGTTTAGTGGAAGAAGGAATATGTTAAAGGTTGTCCCAAAGTTGAAATTCCTTTGAATTCTCCCTCTGAATGTCAACTTAGGTAAAATAAGGTTGATTTTCATAGAATGTGACATCCATAGAAGTTTACATTTTTTCGAGTGAGAGAAAAGTAACATTTGTACCCTTTTTATTAGACGAATAGCCTAGAAATACACATTTGATACATTTAGGATCAAGTTTGATTCTATATTGGTAATGGATGTGAACAAAGGTAGAATGAAAGATAAAAAAACAACAGACCTGGAATGAGAAAATTTTGTAGAACATCACGAGATCTTTGAATTCTAAGACTTTGCTAGGCATTATAATAATGAGGTAGGTTACAATAAGAATAGCTTCCCTCAGAACTGTTTGAAAACACTCGTAGAAAACATTATAAACCTAGCAACTTCCAACAAATGTCTACTTTTTTTTGGCTATTCCATTTTACTAAGGTGTGTTAACACAAGAGTTGACATGAATTATCCCTTTTCCCTTGAAGTAAGAGCCTAAGGATGCATAAAATACACTCTTATTGTTTGTTTTAAAGACTTGAATGACTTAAATTGGGTTTCAACCATAGTACGAAAAGATTTGAAGAAACCATCAATTTCAATTATTTCTTTCATAATGGAAGTCCATATTGTCCTAGAATGATCATCTATGAATGAGAAGAATCATCTAGCCCCAGCAATAATTTTTACTCTTGGACGGTCCCAAATGCCACAATGAATGATTGAAAAAGGATTTGAGGGCTTGCAAATTAGCATATTTCACAAGAAAAAGATATGGGATTTTTATGGACAAATAAATCAGGAAACAACTTAGCAAGGCATTGAAATTGGGATGACTGAGGCAAAAATGCCACAATATTATTGGATTTGGAATAAAATTAAAACCAAGGAAGCAGAAACAGACTGAAGCACAATTTATGTGAACTTCTCTTGTTGGAGAGGAGCCTCCTTGGAGGATACAAAGACCATCACAGAGTTCAACACTGCCAATCACCTTCCCCGAATCCAATGCCTTGAATTCACAAAGGTTTGAATGGAATTCAGTAACACAATTTAATTCACCACAAAGCTTACTAACAGATATGAAATTACAAGCAAATTTAGGGACACAATTGAACTCATTATTTAATCCAATTAAAAAATCATAAATCCACCAATGTTGTAAAAACCAAATTGGATCAATTTAACTGGGAACTGGTTGGTTAAACAGTTTGAACGGTGCTATTAAACCGTTCTTCAATTAAACCATCATTGAGCGCCATAAAATAAAAACCAAAACTGATTAAACCCCACAAAAAACCTCCTAAGTTGGGTCTATATATTGTTTTGGTTTAATATTTTAGTTTTCATATATTTAGCCTAATTTATTTTGTTAATTTTTAGCCCAATCTGTCCAACCCAGTTTCCAAAGAGTTTTATCACATTTGAACCCTAAAAACATGTAGTTAAAAACAAACAAAAATCTATCAATAATAATCACATAATAAAGTCCCTAATTTTTAGTGATTCAATCCTTAAGAATTAGCCTAAGCAATCTGTAACCTAATTTGCTCAAGCTGAAATGTAGTTGTCAGTATAGTTATCATTATCTGCTAAAATGGCCTTTGTTTCAACAACAATGATGATTGATGGATGTGTAAGCATCATAAATATGTCAACCACTTTGGAGGAAACCACCTTTCGCCAAGTTTATCCTGACTCTAGGCTTGAAGACATGGTTTTTCCAGGAGGGGAGTATTATTGCAGTCAGTTAATAGTTGTTAGATAGGGCTCTGAGGAGAGCTTGTTTGATAGAACTTAGAATAAAAAAACTTTTAGGACTCTTAAAATAGTTGTGTTTCATAGGATTTTATTTAATTTGATATGCTTTCTTTAAGTATTGTAATTTTTATTTGAAGGCACAATGAATAAAATAAAGGTAATTCAATTTTTTTTGTCAAAACCGTATATAAAGAAATCTTGGCCTATCTCTAATTAGTCCTAAGAGTTTCAGACTCCATTTGAAGAGCTTGAGCTTTTCATTAATTAATATGATATTTTATTATTTTTCTTATTTATTAAATATTAGATATATAAATGGATGGCTAGGATTATTAGTTATTTAAGATTTAAATCTAAGGCTTGGATTAAAAATTTTCTTGTAACCATAGTAAAAGTTGTAAAATAGCTTTATAGAAAACCTTGTTTTTTTTTAAAGGAAAAATCTTTATAGAAAACCTTGTTATTTTATTTGAATTAACAGACTTCAAAATCTATAGGTTTATATAACCCTATGTTTTCTAGGGTATAAACTTCCATCTATCGATTTTTCAGGCTTATTTCTTTTGATTGCTTCTATTTTCTTCCTAAACCACACCAATGTGGTACAAAATTAGACGAAGAAGAAAAGCAAAATTAGCATCTTTTTAGCAAGTTCCATTTTAAAGAAAAACAAAAATCATACCTCTTTATAATTTACTTCCAAGTTGCGTAGCAATAATGACGTTTTTGTCGCTTGTATCCATTTAGTATCAATACAGATATTGCCAAATTGTTTGGGACCATCTTCTGCTTGAAAATAATCTCCACATTTTAACATCTGCACATAAATTCTAAATAAGAATAAAACCAAAAATCCAAATGAATACCAAAAACACGAAATTGTGCATGCTCAGATCAAAAAGTGAAAAAGGTAAATGATATTATGCAAAATTTTATCATCCATAAAAATACCAACATCAAAAACAACTAGTTCAGATGATAACTTCACGAGGCAAATTCACATGGTTTGTTGAAAGGAATGTGCGACGATTAGGAAAAAAAAGCAAGCATAAAGATCAAACAAACGAAGTTGCCTTCTGATTGTTGCCTCACTATCGAAATTACACTACTACCAGATATTATAATCCACAAAGAAACCAGTAGGATCACTCCACACACCCACACACACACATATATATATTAATCAATAACATTTGATATATATTAATCAAAAACAGTTTTCTTTTTGAAAGAAAGAGAAGGGTACAAGCATACATGTTCTCAAAGGTCATCAAAAACACAAGCAAGGGCATCATGATCATATTTTAGGGGAAAGAATTTGTACTTAATTTTATCATGAACACACATCTAAGACCAACCACTTAGATGGACCAACCAAACTTTGAATGGTGAAGATTTCTGGTTTAACGAAACATGCCTAGATGGAAACAATATGAACAGTGTATGGTCAAACTCAACCACTTTCAAGGGCAATGACATTGGATAACTAAGTACCTTATAATTGTCAACCAAACGAGTAAGCATCACAATGACAGGGCAATGACATTGGATAACCATCTCCCAGAAATCCTCATAAGTGTGAGGCAAGGGACCTTGTGTGGCTATAAACTGAGAGATGTTTCCCGAAGAAGAAGTCTACATTCAAGAATATCAGGATCCAAATAGGTCAATTCGAGGAAACATAGTTTCAAACTCCCAATATAAACTCCTCCAACTAAAACACAAAGAACATAGAAATCTACCGTGATAAAGCTAGCATTGATATAACCCATTGAAGCTGGTCTGTAATCTTTACATGAATTAAGAACTACCCTATTAGCGTCAACTGAAACCAATAAAAGCAAGTATTCAGAAAAAATCAATTTAACCAAAACGAGAGAAAGAAAAACTCTTAATCATATTCTACGAACTAATCACTCAAACGACTAAGACAATTTACTTTGGAAGGAAAATAAAACTTTTTAAGTACATGGTACGACATCGGTGTATCTATTCTTTTCCATATTGACACCGTTAAGACCAACTGTGCATCTCCTCATCTTCTCCGAAGATGTAACCCTATTTGCCTACAAATAGTAAAACAAGAGTTAATTACCAATTTCGGGAAAACAATTTTAAAATGAAAAAAAAGGTAAATAGCACCTGCAAGAGAGAGAACTCGCGGATGATTTCGAGGGGCGTTTGGAGCTTTTCGGAGAATAATTTGAGAGCCTCAGAACAGAAGTTGAACTGATCAGGAGTGAGTGAGATTTTGGGGGGGAAATCGGCTGAGAAGACAAAGCGGTGGGGCTGGGTAGGGTTGGAATCCGAGTAGAGCGGGCGGGGATTAGCGGCGGCGGCGGCCATGGCCTGTTTCCGCTTTGAAGAAACGCAACTGGAAATGAGGTTACCCGTTGTAGTCTAAACGGGATGAATGTGTCTGTATGGTGGGAATTTGAGAAAATGGATTGAGAGTAGGATGGGAATATGATTGACGGGAACCCAATGATCTAATGCAATTAACCCTTCAATCGTGCCAACTTGGTGCCGCCCCTCATCCAATTAATTTTATAAAAGTATTAGGGTAAAGTATAGTAATGGTCACCAAATTTTTCTAAAGCTTTCATTTAGGTCATCAAATTTTTAAAACTTGCAATACAGTCTCCCAATATTTAGTATATTTACAATATGATCTCTAATATTTAGTCTATTTACAATGTGGTCCTCGATCGTTTGATGACGTTACACTGTCGTTAGTACGTTTGAAATATGGTCACCGAATTTTTTAGACACTTGCATTTTGGTCTCCCAACTTTTAAAACTTGCAACACAGTCCTAAATTTCATTCTAAACCCAAAATTTCTTTTCGATCTCGAATTTCCTTTTTCGCTTCTCTCTTCTCATTTCCAGCGTAACTTTTCAGTCGGGGATGCATGGGAAAGTCTAATCTAACTTTGAATTATGTGGAGGTGTTGACTTTAATAAGGGTTCATTGATAGAAGACCTGACCAAGGGACTATCGGGACCATCAACGATTCAAGGTGTAATGTTAGATACAAATCATCTCAGGTGAAGAATAGATGTTCGATGAAATGCTTGTGAGAAAAAAAATGGGGTTAGAAATGCAGAGTTGGCAAATACTACTAAGATGAACTAAGTATCATTGTTGAAAGTCACCAACAAAACTGTAATTATTTTGTATAAATGGCATATAATAATTTCTTCGTTTAATCCTTGTGCTTAAAGATTTTCCAACAGGTGATCAAATATAAGGAAATACCAAACAGCGCATTCACCTCTCGTTTGGTTTTTGTTCTTCAATTTTCTTCCATGTAAAATTGTAAACCCAAGCAGTGCTCTGTTTTTCAGCTTTTTATTTATAAAGAAAAAATGGAGGAAGAATTGTTGGAACGCAACACCGATTGCGTTTATTTCTTAGTCTCTTCCCTCACTTGCAAGAAGGTATTTATTTTCTCTTTTGGGCTATCCGAAAGTAAGCTTTTCCACTTTCGTACTTTCCCATCTTCAGCTTACATTGTGTGTTTTTTGTTGAAATTTTTATGTTTCTGGAACTGCATGTCAATGATCTGGATATTCAGTGTTAGTTTTGAACCAAAACCATCTAATTTTCTTTCTTTCTTCTTAATCAAAACTTTTAGTACTCCTTATAAAAGATATTCAGTCCATCAGAATAGAAGTGAAATAAGGTCCTATGCTAAATTTTTTTGATCTTCTTGTTTGGTTTTTCTTTAAATCAGGGAATTGGTTGTGAGTATCAACATAGTGAAATCGCCAGGCTCAATCCGAGAGACTGCTGGTACTAGTTTACTGGGAATTGTATTGATCCAACCTGTGGTTTTCGGAGTCATGTGAGCTCGTATTCTTTTTAATAAGTTCATGTTGATTATGGCACTGAAATATCATGAATTAATTAATTTTTTACATGTTTTGAAAATTTTACAGTTGAATTGTATTGAATAATAGCTTTAGAAGACAATTATGCATGCACGCAACTCGAAAGGCATCATGATAGGGTAGTATATTTGGAACAGCTACTTGACCCTGTCATGACGCCTTTCGAGTTGAGAAAGAGACTGAGAGGTGAATGTGTTGTTTGGGATTTCATTATATTTGATCATCTGTTAGAAAATCTTTAAGCACAAGGATTAAAAGAAGAAATTATTATATGTCATTTATACAAAAATAATTTCAACGTTGTTGGTGACTTTCAACAATGATACTTAGTTCATCTTAGTAGTATTTGTCAACTTTATATTTCTAACCCCATTTTTTCTCACAAGCATTTCATCGAACATCTATGCTTCACCTGAGATGACTTGTATCTAACATTACACCTTGAATCGTTGATGGTCCTGATAGTCCCTTGGTCATGTCTTCTCTCAATAGACCCTTATTCAAATCAATACCTCCACATAATTCAAAGTTAGATTATAATTTTCCATGCATCCCCGACTGAAAAGTTACGCTAGAAATGAGAAGAGAGAAGTGAAAAAGGAAATTTGAGATCGAAAAGGAATTTGGGGTTTATAATGAAATTTAGGACTGTGTTGTAAGTTTTAAAAGTTGGGGGACCTAAATACAAGCGCCTAAAAAGTTCAATGACCATATTACAAACATACTAACGACAGTGTAACGGCGTCAAACGGTCGGGGACTATATTGCAAACAGACTAAATGTTAGGGAACTGTATTGTAAGTTTTAAAAGTTGGGGGACCTAAATAAAAGTTTTAGAAAAGTTTAGTGACCATTACTATACTTTACCCAAAGTATTATTATTATTATTGAATTATTATTTATTAATATTTTTATTTTAATAAAAGCTTGAATATAAAATAAGTGTTCAAACTATACATTTTTTCACGAATAGGTGTCTAAAGTATTTTTGACTCATCTTGGTGCCCAAAATTACGAACGTTACCATTTCAAGTGTTTGAACCATCAATGGTCTTAATTTTTCTGTTAAGTGACACATGTCACGATTTGGTAATTTAAAATATATATTCAAAATTAAAAAATTAAATTTTTCCGTTAAGTGACACATGTCACCATCTATGTTTTGTGTTTATTGCTCTTGATTTGCGTTTGGAACTTCCCGTGTTTGACATCGAATTGGGTTTGACATGGGATTTTTCCTTTATCTCCATGTTTTTTTGTTCTGCATTATTGTAATTTTGAAAACCCTATATCTACTTCTTGCTAGCTAATTCCAGCATAAACCTCTGAAGAAACCCATCTGGGTATTTCTTATTTAGGGGTTCCCCCTTTTTAACTTGTTTTTTAGAATTTTCTTATCTCACCCATAGCTTTCCTCCAATTTTTCTTTTGAGGAAAACAGCAGATTCAGTGATTACTGTATATGATTTTAGAGTAATTTTAATAATCTAAATCTCTGCGTTCTTCTTTACTTGCTGTCCCTTTGTTGGTTTGCTTGATTCGTTGCTTCATTCTTCTTTCAACTGGATTTTTGTTTTGGGAAGTACTTATTTGTAGTACTTTAGCTAATAACTCTTAGATTACTTCGTTCTTTTACTGCCAGGACTTGCTTCTAGTACGTTGGATCTCTAGTTTGTTGTAGATGAGTTGATTTAGTTGTTGAGCTAGTTATATGGTTGTGAGATTGATTATGACATTATAATTAAGTTTAGTTTAGTTGTTAAGTTAATCATACATATATGTGCTCTAACATAACGTGTATGATTAAGTGTTTTACTTTTCTTTGAGTAGGATCTACGGGATCTATATTTTAGTACTTTTCTTTTAGTAGGATTTACTGGATCTGTATTTTTTTCATTGTCCTAGACTCCTAGTATCTTATACCATTATCAATATTTAAGTAAGATATAAATCCAATCATTGGTTTCTAGATGTTGGCCTTAAGTTAAGTAAGATAGTGTTTATTTGTCTTAAAATCCTATTAAGTAACCAACTAGTTCTCTTAGTACCCCTCAATTCTCTAGCATTTTATTGGTGCATCTTCTGTCTTCTTTGGATTCTTTTTTCATAGTTCCTCATAGCTTCGACTATAGATGATTACTTGAGGTCATGTCCTTCTCTTAGATCTCATAGGGCGTATAGGGGGAGGGCTCGACAGAGTGGTATCAAGGAGACTAGACTTAGAGTTTGTTCGTTGAATGTAGGCTCATTAAATGCTAGGCTGCTGGAGCTGACCGACGTACTTAGTAATAGGAAAATAGATTTTGCATGTATTCAGGAGACTAGGTGGAAAGGGGCTCACGCCAGAGAGTGTAATGGGTACAAGTTGTGGTATTCAGGCGTAGATAACGCTAGAAATGGGGTGGGTATCTTGGTATCCTCTAGGCTTAAGGAAAATGTAGTTGAAGTTTGTAGATACCGAGATAGGATCATGAAGATTAAGGTTATTATAGAAGCGGAAGCGGTGAATGTCTTGTCAGTGTACGCCCCAAACGTTGGCTTAGGGGAGGGGGAGAAATGTTGCTTCTGGGATCAGTTAGATGATGTACTTAGGAGCATTCCGGAGGACCAAAGAGTTTTCATAGGGGGAGACTTCAATGGCCATATAGGTAGTGCAACCGACGAGTATAACAGTGTTCATAGGGGTTTCGGTTTTGGTAGTAGGAACAAGGAGGGGCGTATGTTGCTTGAATTTGCTACTACACAAGATATGGTGGTCACTAACTCATTCTTTAACAAGAGAGATGTGAACTTGATTACATTCCATAGCGGGGGACATTGTACCCAAATCGACTACATCCTGGTTCAAAATCAGGATCGATGGGCTTGCATTGACTGTAAGGTGTTCCCTGAAGAGGCATGTGCATCACAACAGATATTGTTGGTTTTGGTGTTTTGCGTACGCCACGGGCGGAGCACACATAGGAGGGCTAAACTTGGTAAACCTAGGATCCTTTGGAAGAACTTACATGGATCGACAACTGATGACTTTAGGAGTAAGGTTTTGTCTAATACAGGTTTTGGAACTACAAACTCAAATAATGCAGATATGTTACAGAAAAATATGAAAAATTCCATTAGAGAGGTGGGCAAAAACACCCTTGGGTTATCGACAGGAAGGTCAATGAGCATAAAGAATCGTGGTGGTGGAACGAGAGAGTCCAAACCAAGGTGAAGACAAAGCAAACTTACTTCAAGGAGTATCTATAATGCAATGACGACGAAGAAAGATCGAAAACTAAAAGATACAAGGAGACAAAGCGGGAAGCCAAGAAAACGGTGGCTAAAGCAAAGGATAAGGCATATGAGGAAATGTACAAGAGATTAGACATCAAGGAAGGAAAAAACGGCATCTTCAGGCTAGCAAAATCCATGGAGAACAGGAAAAAGGATCTAGGTAGCATTAGGTTTATTAAGGACAACAATGGTGTTCTCTTAGTGAAAGATCATGATATTAAGAGGGTTTGGGGTAGTTACTTCTTTGGCTTATTTAATGACGGTGCCTCTCCCTATAGAGATAAAACCGTTGATGGGTCAGCCAACTATCATACTATGGC